ACCCTTGAGCGATCTAGCTGCATGGCCTCAAGACCATAAACTGAGAACAGACTTAAGTCAAAATTTTGATCTTTTATTTCTTGAGTTCCACTAAACATATGTGAATACAAACTTACAGGTTTTTATAATACACAAATTCAACCACGTTGAAAATTTTGTTTCATTATCAAAATTATTTTAAAAATTATATTGATTTGAAATTTTGACTTATGTCTGTTCTCAGTTTATGGTCTTGGGGCCTGGTTCCATTTCGAAACTTCAAAAATTTTAATTTTTCTTCATCCAAAGATGCTATATGCTAAAACTGATTGAAGTTCTAGATGCTGAATTTGTTAAAAATTCAAAAGAGTTACACAAGACATGACAATAGAAAGGCATTTACAGATATTAATGGGTCAAATGAATGACTCAAATGACCTGAAAATATAACATAAAAAAAATAAACTTTAGCATTAATCTTTTTTTTTTCAATTAAATCATGAAAACAGTAAATAAAATATCAACTGTTTAATAGGAGGAAGTTGTTGTAAATTTGACAACCTTGTAAACAGCTGATTATAGAAGATGTCTTACAATCCAAAACAACTCATTTCACAGATTAGGTTGTCATGATTAATGTTTGTGTCCTCAACAACAAAAGGTGTATGTTAACTGCTACCATCAACTCATCTAAGAAACATACATTACAGACATTAAGGAATAATGGAACCATACATCAAACTTTACATCTTTCAGTTGTTAATTAATGTTTAAAACTCTATGTAATTACAGGTCAGAGTGTAGGAGGCTGTTTAAGAAAATGGCCGGATTATACCTTGTCTCTATTAATGGCAAACACACAAGTTTGACAAGGAGAGGAAAAGGGGGGTATCAGGGTAGAAGGGGATAAAATAGATCATTCAAAGGTATTCTCTTCAGAGAAATGGACAGGCTTTCACCTACATGTAGGCGAAAGCCTGTCCACTTTACTAAAGAAAATTGGGGATTCTAGCTTATGAATTAAACTGTGGCCCTTTTGCTCCTCTTCAGGACAATATATTTTCTTTCTCTATAGACATGCCCATGCAAAACAGTGTCATTACCCCATCACGTACTGCCCCACTATAGTCTCCGCAACATGTGCAATTTGTTTATGTTTTATAATGAATCTACACTTCATATTAATCAGTTCGACTGAATTTCACAACATTGTATTAAGAAAAGCAGTGCAGATATTCTGAGAAAATGTCTTAGAGAAATATACAGAAAAACACGATATAGCACTAATTTCCAATCATGTCATGTGTTTCTGGGTCTAAAATCAAGAAGTAAGACCTGATATAACTTTATTCTAATAGAAGATTTCGGGCTTTATATGAATTTATGGGCGATATTTCATTTTGGAATACTTACCATAATTACACCAATCAAAATATTGCGGGATGCAAATTATCCACGTGGGGGGTAAATTCCTTGTTAATTCATTCCAAAGCTGATTCGGCCAATCAATATTTTTGCCGGGGGAGGGGAGTCCTGTAATCAAGATTCGGAGGCCTATAGTTTTTGCTCTAACCGTCCGTCTGTCTGTCTATCTGTTTGTCCACAAAATCTTTAACCTCGTCCATAACTTTTGATCGGTTGGAGCCAGGGCTTTCATACTCCTTGTGATAAGAGGCGCGAGGCCTTTCTTTGGGTACCAAAATATTTGACCTCTTAACTTTGACCTATTTTTGAAAATTTTACCAAACTTTAACATTGGTCATAACTTTTGAACAACTGTCGAAGGTTTCTTACTTCATGTGTGTATTCCTTGTGATAAGACCTTCCCGGCTTGGTTACAAATATTTTTGACCTTGGAGTTTGACCTACAATGTACTTTTGAAAAACTTTAACCTTGGGCATAAGTTTTGAATAGTTGGAGCTAGGGCTTTTGTATTTCACATGTATATATCTTGTGACGAGAACCTTCTTTGGGTATGACTATCAACAATTGTGACACCTTAGTCTTGACGTTTGACCTACTCAGTTTAGAAAAACTTTTACCTTGGTCATAACTTTTGAATGGTTGATGCTACGGCTTTCATATTTCACGGCATTTGCTTTCCTTATGACAAGATCTTATTCATGGCCGTAGGAACCGGGGGGGGGGGGGGGGGGCGTAGTACCAGCATTTTGATATCTTGACCTTGGGCTTGGAGTTTGACTCAAGTTGTATTTGAGAAATATTAACCTTCGCCATGAGCTGCCATACGGAGCTTTTTTTTTTTTTTTTTTAATTTTTTAATTTCATTTTAATTTTTATTTTATTTTTGGTTGTTGTTTTGTATTGTTTTGTTTTGTTATTGTTTTGTATGATTTTGTTTTGTTTCTTTTGTTTTTTTTTATGTTTACGTTTTTTCCCCTTAATTTTTGTCTTTGTTTTTGTTTTGTTTTGTTTTTTTTGTGTGTTTTTTTTGGGGGGGGGGGGTGTTTAGTTTTTTATGTTTGTTTGGTTTTTGTTTATGTGTTTATTTTGTTTTCTTTTCTTTTGTTTTGATTTTGATAATGCGTTTCATGTGAAAGTATTTGACTAATTTCTCAAGAGAATTCTATTGATTTCAATAACATTAAAATATCATGAATTGTTTCCCCGAGACATTTATCCTATACAATAAAGAGAATGTATAACAGAGTTATGCCTCTTTCTACGTTCAGAATGTCTGGATACGTAAACTTCCCCTCCCCATATATTTGTTGATAAATTTTCAATTAGATTTAAATCAACTGGATCTTTTTCTCATATCAGAAATCTATCTCTACTCACAGTTCACTTTCTAAGGATGAAATTTTCAGAGTCACATTTCAGTGGTTTATACTTTTAACATTCCAGTCAACTAAGGTGAGCTCGATCTTCCCTACCAATACTGGATTTCTAAATTTCATAAAAATCCTTACAAACAAAGATACATTGCGGGTACATGTACGTCCAGTAAATGCTCTACAAAGCAAATAGCTTTACTCCTTACAAAAATATTAACCGCTGTAAAGGAGAAACTTCTGTGCTACAGCACACTCTAGAAGTGGTGTAACTCAGTTGTGGATTCTCAAAAATTCCAAAGAACTTTTAGAAATTTTAAAATTATGCATCAAATTTTTCTTAAGTCAATAAAATCAAAACTTAAAACTTTTCTACACTTTATACAACTAAATTAAAAACTAGGCCTTTTGATATCACATACAACTGCTTCTTCAATAAAAATGGAACTCGGAAATGTTCGTATCTCTTTTTACGTTGTCTTAGTTAAAAACCACTCTGATTCTACACAAAAGAACTCTGAATTTGAAATTAAAAGAATGTTGGAGTTCCTAATAATTAGTAATTGCCAGTATATACGTAGTGTTTGGAGACAGTCTTCCAACAAACTGCTAGAATTTCGATGGGCTCTAACTGTTTTCTTTTATAAGCTAACTTGCTTTTTACGTATATTCCTATAAAGCAGAATTATATAAAAAAATATTCTAGATGAGAAGAAACCACTGTGGCCTTCAACTCGACACTCAGATATATCGACGACATTTAATCAATTAACAATAGTTACCTCCATTCATATGTCGACTCGATATATATATCACAGTGAACTTGAAATAAAAGATACCATAGGATCTGCCACATCTGTTTCATATTTGGATGTTTTACTGACTATAGACAATAAGGGCCAACTAACAACTAAATTTTATAACAAACGAAATGACTTCAGCTTTTCCATCATCAACTTTCCTTATTTATGTAATAATATACCGCTGTCACCCGCATATGGTGTTTACGTCTCCGAACTTATACGATACTCAAGAGCATGCTCCGATCAATTTTTAAGGCAGGCTACTGATATATAAGTTGATGTTGCAGGGATTTCAACAACCTCGTTTAAAATCAGCACTTCACCAATTATATGGTCGCTGTAATGACCTTGTTAACGAATATAATCTGTCATTGAGTCGTATTTTGTCTGACGTGTTTCTTACCAATTGTTAGGCCTTTGTTTTTAATACTAAATTTGACTACGGAATGTTCCGTCTACCTGATCAATACATAGGACTCACGGCGGGTGTGACTGGTCAACAGGGGGTGATTACTCCCCCGAGGCACCTTTGGCACCGAGGGTCCGTGTTTTATGCTAGTTCATAGATTTGTATTGTTTTGTATTGTCATAGATTTGTATTGTTTTGTATTGTCATAGATTTGTATTGTTTGTAGATTTTTTGAGATCGGTTACTGTTCATTATGTTCACCTTTTTCATTCGTTACAGAAAAGTTTTAGTTCCCAGCACGGCAACCATAAATCAAATGACTTAGATGTAATAAAGATACTATAATTGATGCATATGGTTTGTATTTTCTGGCCTATTTGTTTGTTTAGAAGAGATTTTAGAGGATCTTTCCAATTTCAAAAGATTTTTACAAATGTTCCACTACAAGGTAAAGCGTCCCTTCATTAAATGAAATTTTTAAAGGTAAACCGCCCCTACATTAATTAAAGAAACAAAAGAATAACCATCGCCAAAGCTTCTTATTATTGCATCTTAATTGTCTTTGGCAGGAAAAGACGATAAAATGAAAAGGGGGAAAGTTTACAGAGCTAAAAAAATACAGATGGCAAACACGTCTTTCAGTGTAATTCACTTGAGATATTTGCTCCTAAAAGGTACAAGAAGTCAATTTCTGTATTTGAAAAAAAAAATCCACAATTTGACCCCAAAATTAACTTATGTAATGAAATATTGATTTTCTTAAGCACTCAGGGAGTTACCGATTTGCACAGAGACAAACTGTGTTTTTCTTTCTACTTAAAAATAATGACCACACAATGAGAAGGATGAAACTGACAAATCATTGAGAATTGATTTTATTTAATGGATTCCTCGTTTCGTAACCATTGAACAATCTCACGTGTGCAATTGCGTGGCTGTTTTCAAATTAAAGTTCCAAAGATGTCTTAATTCTCTCCATCGGACGATGATGAGTTCGTGGATGAGGGTCCTTTTTAAAGTGTGCCTTTTATTGGAGATTTCAAATTCTGTTAAAGGTACGATACAACTTCATAGTTTACAGTTTGCTTTATTTTTTTTTGTAAATTAATGACCTGATTTATTACTACGAAAAACCTTATAAAGAATACTGTCATGAGGAAAACTTTGACTTCCAATTATATTTAAAATTCTTAATAACAGTATTCCATAATTGTAATGGGTAAGTTAAATATAATTATATTTTTTAACACATCATTTATATAGTTATTTTTAAACAGAGATATAATATATTAAAACTCTGTTTTTGGTAGAAAATGTACATGGCCGTCTTTTATTTGTTTATAATTAGTCATATACTCATTATTTAACGACTGAGAATTGTAAATTAGTGAAGGACAATACTGAGTTATAAACTTGCTACCGAATTTGAGGCTGGTGTGAAGGAAACAGACCTATACATTACTAGGGACCATTTGAAATATCTTTGTTGCTGAACAGTGCGACATTTCTGTACGAAAAACCAAACAAGGTTGACTAATTATTTATCATACAGTTTCATTGTCTAAATTGGCATTTTTTCATTCCAACAATGTCATGTGCAAACATTAATTAAAAAGTAAATTTGAGACTTAGTCAAGAGTAAGATTTCCAATATGTTTTCAATTACCTAATGATTTTCTGTAACGGCAACGAAGGAATAGAAGACTATTCCAAAACGTAAAAAGCAACCTCGATTAAATGATCAGCCATGCGTTTTCTACCATATATACGAACAGACAGACAGACAAAGAAAGAAAAAAAAGTGTCCTTGATGAAAAATATGAAGTATTTATTCTTGCTACCAAGTGTTTCATAAATGTAATTAAGAGAAGCACCAATATAGAAAAATTTGTTTTGCATTAGAATCGGTGCATATTTTGAAACCCTATCACACAAAGACTCCTGAAGCATAGTAGTTGGGGCGAAGGAAGGGGTGGTACATTTAAGTTGTTTTAGACCATAGCAGTTAGGGTTCCTTTCAATGTTTATCTTGCCAACACCTACCAATCAGGGGATAGAGAGGTTCCAAAATCGTTTTCGTGCTTCTTTACCACCAATCGATTGAAGGATTGAAGGAGGGATTCTTGTCTGGTTTCTGACTAGATGAAATGTTCAAAGTATATTTGCTTATATGTTTTATACATTTAGATGTAAGAGATTAAAAAGATCATAATTTTCTTTCCTCATCACAATTGTACAACTTTAAATAGAATTTGATAAACTGAGTTTGAAATCTAGCAGGGACTATATTTTTGGCGGAATGGCGGTGTATGAAAATATCTTCTTTTCTGCCTCTCAAAATAATTATAGAACAATGAATTTAGTTATCATTTTTACACAATCAAAGACTTGGAGAAAATTTTTAAATGTAAGTTAAATTAATAATAAGGGACAAAAGTTTTAAAATATATCAAATAAATATGATTTTCCAATCAAACTAAAATTATGTTAACATTTAAAAGCTTCAAATCTAAGTTCAGATTTGAGCCAAAAATCCGTAAAAAATGTTTTCTCTCTCTTAGTAAACGGTCAAAACTTTTTTTTTGTATCATTTTGTATCTTTATGTGACAACTTTACCATAAGTGAAAATAAGAAAAATTTAAATATAGGAAGCATATAAAAGTAACTAAAATATCTTAGAATTTTAAGAAAAATAGAGAAAATTCGGATTAGCCAATATCTATTTTAGTTAAATTATTTATGTCAATTTGGTAATATCATCTTATTGACCCTATATGGTAATATTTCTTTATGCAAAAAGAAAAACATTTAATTTATTGAAATAGAGGTAGGCATCGCATGATTGGCAAAAGTAATTTTTTATTCTTAATGTCCAGGGAAAAGGTACTGACCTTGACCTGACCTTGCCTTTAATATAAAACTGTCAAATTTAATCTAAATGATGCCATCACTTAGTGATATTGTCTTCTTGATTCAGTGAAAATTTCATTGATTTTTAAATATAAGAAATAAGTGTTCTTATGAGAAGAATCCCTCTTTAAGAATATTTAAAACCCATTGACACACCTTTTTATCATCCATGATCTCGTAGTTGAACAAACTCCGAAGACAATCAGATCCCGTGAACGTAAATATTGAAATAAAATGTATATGGATTCCAATGCACTGAGGAATCTTCCTTTCTGAACGACTTAATTAATATCTACGTATTATAACTCCATATAGGCAGTGGTTCCTACGCCGTGACGTTGATGAATTCTCTCTTAGCGACCTACCACCCCGGAGTTCGACCTCTACTGAACTCATCTGACGCTGTACACGTCAACGTCACGTGGGAAGTAGCCGTTGTTAGGGGAGTGGTACGTTATGCAATCATATGAAAAAGTGTTTATTTTGAAACATTTTCAACACTTTTTGCTCACCTGAGTAAAAGGCTCAATTGAACATTTCTGAGCAAAATTTGTTCGTCGTCCATTGTTCCCTCTTACTGTTGAGCACATCAATTGACATTTTCGATTTTTCCAGTAAGGTGTCCTGTGCCTGTTTGGTATTACTGCAGTGGACTGGAAAGCGACGGAGATTCAACTTTGTTCAAATGATGGGATTCGCCTTTTCCAAAACGAGATAATTAAGAAATTGTAATAGGATGAGGTCATTTACAAATCTTTTTTTCAAGAGCCATTTGACAAAACATATAATAAAGGCTTGAGAAGAAAGGACAAAACTTTTAATGAAGGCCTCCTTACTGAGTGGAGATTCAAATTCATTCAAATCATGGCTCCAGCGTCTAGGGTTTGGATACAACATTTGTTTAAACTCTTAAAATGGGATATAATATGTGTGAGGATATTTGAGAAAAAATATTTCAAGAGCATGACTATAATTATTTAAAATGCAAACATTCTGATGTAGTATAGATTCAAATTTGTTCAAATTATGGTATACCCTGGAGCTGGGGAAGGGCTCAAAGTATATTTTAAAAATGTAGGAAAAATCTGCTAAAATCTCCCTCTGAAAACTGACAGACCACGGTTTCTCGTATTTATATGCAAAACCCCAATGTAGTGCAAATTCATATTTTTGTTCAAAATATGCCTTCTGGGCCTAGGGTAAGGCTAGAAGAGAAATTGAAAGTCTACATGGGAATATGTTATTTTAAAAAATCTTTCACGAATAGCAGGGCCACGCTAAATCACGTAAATGATTGAAATACAAATATCAGAAAGCTGTTTGGAGTCAAGCATGCTCAAGGTATACAACCGGGGTTCGGGTGAGGCAAAAGTTGGGGATAAAATTTCAAATATGCTATGAAAAAATATCTTTATATAAAAACCTTTTCCAGAACAGCACAATTGCATTAGTTATATTGATACTAAGCACCATCATGTCGATTGGATCCTTATGTCATGGCCCTTTTGGGCTAGACTTTGTTCACAATATGACAAACAGATTAACAGACAAACGGGCGAATAGATCAAAACTACATGCCCCCGAATCTTTTATTACAGGGGCATAAAAATATAAGAAAAAATTCTGAAGAAGAACAGGTTTTAGGTTGTTCAGATGAGCATTGTGTCCCATGGTTTTTATTCAACAGGGAAGTTTTTAAAATTTTTAAAAAGCTATTTTTTTTTTTTAATATTTCTTCAATATGATTTTCTTTCTAGATTGAAAAAGAGTCCAAAACACTAATGACTGTCGTTATCGGCTGTGTAAGTACCAACACATTAATAGTTAACTGCCAAGTTAACTAATTCAGATTTAATCACATATGCAAACCAAAATACATTGTAGAATGTTTAGTTTTCATAACATTTAAAAAGAAATTTCGGTGTTAAATTTTCCTAGTATTTTCTTGTTTTAACAGACTTGGAAAGACGAATTTCTAACTTGGAATCCACGACGTCACGGAAATATATCACGCCTTGTTTTCGGAGGGTCGCAGATTTGGAGTCCAAGACCGCTTGTTTTAAACAAGTACGCACATAAAACTGATTAAAAAATGTTTAATTATACTTAAGCTCAGACATGTATACGCTATACTGTAATTTCCTAAGAAAGAAGAATTGAGAAGTTGAAGGTGGTACATGTACATATATGTACATTATAAGTGCTCTCTAGTAAAATTGTTACGCACTAAGACATTAAGCCCTCTTGTTGCTGGTAACTCTTACTGTCATTGGACCATCAAATGAGTTTGGTGCCTATTGAAATGCTTAGTTCCATATTAGTTTAAACCATATTTCATTTGAAAATTACAAACGTTAAGTACAGACATACAATAAAGATCAAACTGGATTCGGAAACAAGTTTAAAAACATCTTTATCCATATTATAGATCCATATTACTGGATCGTGATAACATTGTCAAGTTTTTAATCAATTTAAAATTTACCATAATACGTTTTAGACTGAAGATTTTTACTGTTCATATCGATGGCATTGTTCTTTCAGACTAGGACAGTTTCTGTCCAAAGGTTTTACAGAGGACCTAATGGAAGTGACCAGCGATGGATTAGTTACTGCCAAACATACGGGTGACATTGAACTCGCAGCAAATATCGATACTCAGGAGTTCCCATTTGACAGTCAAGTTTGCACAGCTTTAATCCAATTCAACAAGTATACACCTTCAGAAGTTTATATGGAGGACGTTCGTCTGAGTCTCCGTCTATACACACAATCACCTGTGTGGGAAATATCCAGTGCAGACACAATCAATTACTTTTATCCCCAAACCCAAATTGCTTCATTTAAGTTTATATTGAAGAGAAAACCCCTTTATTACGTGTTTACTATGTTTGGACCATCTCTTATATTATCTATTCTCCTATTGGTGGCTTTCTTTTTACCCAATGACAATGGAGAGAAGATTATGTGCGGGACTACCATTTTTCTGTCTTACGTTGTATTTTTGACTTATTTGTCTGATATGTTGCCCGAAGATTCCAACAATGTTCCAAAAATTGGTAAGAAAAAGCTACAGTGAACTTTAACTAACTTTTGAGAACAGCCGACAACTAATATAGCGCTAATTAACATTGAAATTCCGCATTGTGTTTCTAATAATGAGAAATATAAAATTTTATTAATACAATGTACTCAATTTACTAAAAAAAAAATCGAGTTTATTGTGAATGTGTTTAAATTAGATATACACACATTTCATTTCAGTACTATTAAAGGAACTTACACTATGTATATTTCTCTGATAATATCTTGATTTCTTTACATTCCGAATATTTTTAGTCCTTGGACTTTCTTCTGTATACATTTAGAAATTCTGTACGTTTATTTTCCAGGAATGTACTATATATTACTGATGATCAGCAGTGCTGTTATGGTTGTCAACTCCATTGCCGTGAATTTCTTTAGAGAAAAAGATGGCGGACTCTGTTTTGCTAAATCTGCGAAGAGGCTTAATGCACAGCTTATTTTGCCAAGAATTATAAATGTGCTCTGTTTTGTAATTTCCTTCATCTGCACTCTGTCTGCGTTTTTAGTTATATTTAATAGGTAGTTATAAAATGACAGAAACACTAAGAATAGCTTCACAACACTCATTGGTTCAACTTGGGAATAGTTAGCAAGATATGCTGTTTTGGTTACTAGTATGTTTCGTAATGTTAAAAGTGAACCCATTGTTAGAGCTAGAGACAACCAACCCTATTCGTGGGCTCAGAAAGCAAATTTAGAATATTTCTTTTCGATAATATATTACATGTAAATCCATTTTTCTACATCTATATATTTATTTGTTATTAAAAAACTGAAATAAACTAGATTTCTTCCAAAATAATTGAAGTGCATGAATATTGCATAAAGATTTCACTGATTATTAAGCTGATTTAAAATGAACTGCGGGACGTGGAGACCGATCCTTCGGGTGGGACCATATAAACCGAGGTCCCGTGTCGCAGTAGGTGCTGGCACAAAAAGATCCCTCACCGCTCAATGGCTGTAAGTGCCAACTGCAGGTCTAAATTTGCAGCCCTTTATTAGCAAGCGATGGCGTCTCAGTACGAGTGAAAAATTCTCGAAGGGACGTTAAATACAAACAAACCAAGCCTAAAATGAAAACAGTTATCAGCTATAAATACAAACAAACCAAGCCTAAAATGAAAACAGTTATCAGCTATAAATACAAACAAACCAAGCCTAAAATGAAAACAGTTATCAGCTATTCTCGATCGTAAGCTAGCAAGAGAAAAGTGAAACTAGAGGCCCAAGGGCTCTTATAACGGTCACCTGAATATAATACAACACTGTAAAGGATCCATAGACGTGTATAAAAACCAAAATAAACTGATAGATGAAGCTTTGTTGCCCAAAAGCAAGATGGATCAACAACATGATAAGTACCCAGTAACAAATAAATAATATTGTCTTCCTGACATATTTTCTATTTATCAATGAAAATTGCATTATGACTACTTTAAAGTACTAATCATAATGGTGATTTTTATTGATAATTAAAATAAAAAATATGTCAGGAAGACAATATAATTAATTTGCCTCCATTTGTTACTATCACTATGCAGACTAAACAAAACAATAGTGCGTTTAGCACTGTTAGTAAACAATCTCATTCCACGTCACATTGGCCCCTCTTGTTCTTTGAAGAACAATCAATGTACAAACTTGAAGATAGATATTTTTGTCTGATTTTTATTTATCTATCATTTACAAGTCTACCTGACCATTACAACTATGAAACAACTAATATATGTATTATCTTGATTAAAATCTTGCATAATTCTCTTATTCAATAGACCTTTCAATTACATTATTTACAGTGATTAGTTATTTTAAAATATAGCGATTCTCTGTATTCACTTAAACTTCTTTGCCACGCATGGTCACCGATTTTGATGAAACTTTGCCCATTATTACAAATTGACACCAGAAACATATATCAAATAAAATTTCGTTGCTATGTGTCTTGGTTGCCATGGCAACAACCAGAAAAGTTGAAAAAATTGAGATTTTCAGCTACTTTGAATCTTTCTTAAGCCTTAATAAAGGCTAAGAAAAACAAACAAACCATTCTCTCACAAACACGACACCTTGTTGCCACTTACGCCTCAAAGAAACTATTTAGAATATATCTCTAAGTAAGTGGTAACCATGGGTACATTTGGAATACATTTTAGATGCTGAAAAAAACCCGCTCAATATTCATTAATGATATTTGTTACATGATCAAACTCAATCAACAACCAAAAAATATTTGACCTCAAGTAATTAGGTATTGGCAATACTATTCTAAAAATAACTTTCATGGTTGCCATGGTAACACAGTGTAACCATGCAAAATATGTTGCTAAGATTGGGTTAATGCTACTACCTTGAGGAAAAACAATAACATTCATGACTGGCACAACCTTGCAACACCGACAACATAAGAAAAATTGGGATTAATTGTTACTTTGCAGTGTAACCATGTAAACAACGTATCAGTTGTTTAAAGCGATATTTTTTGCTGCCTTAGGAACTTACTTACCTTTTAATCAAGAAACATATTATTTGACTCATCTTGAATAGTACTTATCTGGCTCCGGGGCCATAAACCTGAGATGAGCTCACTTTTGATCTCAGTCTCACTTTTATAAAAGGAATATAAAGTGGAAAAGTGAGACTGAGATGAATAGTAAGCTCATCTAAGTTTTCTGGCCCCGGACTCTGGTAGAACTAAAGTTGAATATCGTATATTGATAAAGTTTGATTAAAACTACAACACTGTTGCAGTCGCCCGCTGGCGCAGTGGTTAGAGCGTCTGCTCTAGAGTCGCGGAGTAAGGAGTTGATCCTTCCGTCGCGGGTTCGAATCCCACTGTGGGACGTGGAGACCGGTCCTTCGGATGAGACCGTATAAATCGAGGTCCCGTGTCGCAGTAGGTGCTGGCACGAAAAAGATCCCTCACTGCTCAATGGCCGTAAGTGCCGAGTATAGGACAAAATTTGCAGCTCTCCACCGGCAAGTGATGGCGTCTCCATATGAGTGAAAAATTCTCGAGAGGGACGTTAAACAACATACAAACAAACAAACAACACTGTGTTGCTATGGTTACCAAGAAGGGAAAATTGTCGATTTTGTTAACTTTATATCAATATTAAACCTTATGTACCAGCTTTTTGCATCCAGTTAGAGATTGTGTGGTAGTCAAAATTTAAAGTCAGGTTAGTTGTTCATAAATAACAATCATAAAAGTTTTGGGAATCTACGTACAAGGGTACGTATCCAAGGAAACAGAATATTTTTCAGATTTTTATGCATATTTTAAGGCTAATTTCCATAGCAACGCTCTATTTAAAGAATTTAATTTGAATTTTTTGAAACGTGAAAATTAGGGTCATACCTACGCCTTTAAAAATTGATCATCAGGTACATAGAAATATGCTTTTTAAAAAGGTAGGATAAGATTAAAACACTAAGAGAGTGAATTTAAACTCCCTTCGTGGTATTAAAACCATGGCAACCGTTGCCAACCTATAAGAAATATCACATTTCGTCCTTGGTATATGTTACAAGGATCTTTTGTCTATTATTTGCTAGCATTTCAACCTATATTTGTTTTTATTCTTAAGTGTATGGCTTTATAAAATTAAATGAACAAAAGTATTACTTTTAAATACTTTGTTTCCATAGTAACGTATATGATAGTTGATTTACCAAACATGTTTATCATGCATTTAAGACAACAGGTCTTCAACTTTCAGAAACAGTCATTGCCACTTGTTTGCTTTGCTGCAAACGCTAACTATGGGACTCTGAACATGTTGAAAAGTGCCATTTTTCAAACTTTAGGACATGTTGCTAGCGTTACCATGACACGTAGCAACCAATTTTTGCCTGATTTGAGTTTACAGTATCAGAGACTTTTATCATAGAGAGTTTGGAGAAATTCTGAGACTATGCGTGCCACAGCTCCTATATAAAAGTTCAAGTCATTATGGAGAATGGCTCTTTAAAAAAAAGGCGAAAAGCAAAGAGGAATAACTTCTCTGAGTAGAATATAAATTAATCGAGTCCTGCCTAGCACCAGAACACTTGACCAATTGATCCAGAATTTCAAATATCCTGTAAAAATACCCTTGCTTATATTATTACAACTTTGTATTCTATTTACTTTCTACATGCTCAGGAGCAGAGAAGACGATATTCAAAGAAATAATGCATTTTTCACTAAAGATTCAACACAGCCTCCAGAAGCCCAGGGGCCATGAAAATTCACAAATTTGTAAGAGGCGTCCTTGTTCATAATAACTATGCATTAAGTTTGTTTGTTTGATACCCAGGAACAGAGAAGATTTTAAAGTAGTAATGCATTTTTGCAAAATAATCAATAGAGCCCCGCTTTAACAGAACCCCTGATCCAGGGGCCAGGAAATTCACAAATTTGGCAGAGGCGCCCTTGGTTATCATAACTATTCATTTCGTTTGTTTGCTTAATACATAGGGGCAAAGAAGAAGGTTTTTAAAGAAATAGAGCACTTTTACTATATGATCCCGACCTAACACCAGCAGAACTCCTGACCCTGGGGCCATGAATTTCACAATTTCGATAGAGAGCTCAATGCTTATTACAATTATGCCATGGCAACAGTTTGAGTTTTTAAAGTCAGTAAAGAAAAAAGATTTTAAAAAGTAACATTAATTTTGATAGTTTTAGCCCCACCCCTCAGGCCCCAGGGGCAGGGAATACTGCTGAATATCATTAAAAACAGCAAATGCAGGATATCGGAGTAAAGCAAACAAACCACCAGAACTCGCTACTCAAATTTGACTTCACATAAAAAAAAGTCATAGAACCAATATTGCAAATGTTGAAGTAATTACAAAATTGAAGAAGAGCCGCTGATAGAAGTAGAGACCATCAAATACTAGTTAACCGGTCACGATTGCCTAGTGGTAGGGCGTTCGCTTCGTGATCGGGAGGTCCAGGTTCGATTCTCGCCGCGTCAAACCTAAGACAAAAACATAGGAGGTGTCCTCCGCTCCTTCCACTAGCGCCCGGCAATAAAAGTGAAAGTCACAGGTTTTTTGGATGAGACCTTAAAAAGCAGAGGCCCCGTGTCACGGCAGGCATTGGCACAATAAAGAACCCTCACTGCTCAATGGCACTGACTCGTAGCTGTAAATTTGAAACTCTTCCCGTATATGAGTGAAAAATCCTCGAATGGGCCGTAAAACAACATACAACCAATCCATCATATACTAGTACTTATGTAGTAGTATGAATTAAAAAATACTCAAAATACGCTGTTCGAACACCACTTCTTGAAAAACAAATCTGCTAATTGTAGAATCTGAAATCTTGCAGAGGCGTTGGAGAACCCAGCTCCATAGACCCTCAACCAACGTCACAAAGTATGAACTTTCCTGGAATCAGAATTGGAAACAGAAAGAAAACAACTAGAGTTTACTTTGAGAGAACTAAAGAAGAAACCCCAGGATTGGGAGGGTTGGAGAAATCTTGTTGGTGGCCTAATCCCCAAATGGTGGAGCAGGCATAAAGTTAAATCAAAACAACCATCACTCTCATTGAATCTAACATAAGAACAAATTACAACACATTTTATTTCGCATCATTTATTCTGCTATTACTTTCAATAATGTGCATGGTCCAATGATGTTAAAGGGCTGATTGTCCTCTTTCTTGGCTCCAATGTCGACGATGATGTTTTTTAATGAGATTCGTGGACACATTATACGATTATGATTTTTTAAACGGCAATGAATAAACAAAAAATTGAATTGTTATTAAGGCAAGAAAAGTCTATAAAATATGTCATGTTACACATCCGAGGTTTGTGAACGTTTTAAATCGAACAATCATCAACAAATGCCATATGATATTGATGAAACGAATTTCAACTGGAAATGATGAGCGTTCACAAAGTTTAGCATCCTTGCTATATACAAATACAACACAACTCACCATCTCGCATTTAAAATTCATTCATCGAAGCCAAGTAAAATTTCCAAAACGAAATAATAATAATACAATTATTGTACTACAATGATGATGTTATCAAATCTATTTTAGTTAGAAGAGAGTTTTAAAAATATTGCTTTTCTTCTCAATTTTATGTTGTACATGTAATTGTAAGCTTTGGCATGTCAAACATTGCAATATTCGATCTTTTCCATTTGTATTGTATAATTTTCCATTTGTATTGTATATTATTCAATTTGTATTCTAAAATTTTTCATTTGCATTGTAAAATTTTCAATATTCTATAATTTTTCATTTGCATTGTAAAATTTTCAATATTCTATAATTTTTCATTTGCATTGTAAAATTTTTGTTTGAATGTATTTAATAATTCTCCATTTGTGTTGTTAAATTTTCTATTTGTATTGTATATTTTTTTAATTTGTATTGTATAATTTTTATTTGTATTGTATAATTTCTTATTTGTATTGTATACTTTTCCAGTTGTATTTGTAAAATTATACAAATGGAACTTTATCCAATACAGATGGAATCTGTAGAATACAAATGAAAAATTATAGAGTAGAAATGGAAAATTATAGAATAGAAATGGAAAATTATGGAATAGAAATGGAAAATTATAGAATACATTTAAAAAAAAATTACAATACAAATGAAAAGAATATCCAAAACAAATGAAAAATTATAGAATACAAATGAAAAATTACAGAATGCAAATGGAAAATTGTACAATGCAAATGGAAAATTATAGGAAATACATAGAAAATTATACAATACAACTGGAAAAGATCGAATATTGCAACGTTTGACATGCCATAGTAAGCGCAATATCTGATTCTCATTAGAAAATAAACAGTTCTGTGTTAAACAATAAAATGCTTTCTTCCGTTGTTAGTACAGGAATGTCGCAGCTGTTGCAGAAAAAAATGCATAACATGCGTAAGCGGGTTATGTAAATTTTTTCTGCAATAGCTGTGACGTTAATTCCCGTACTAACAACCAAAGAAAGACATTTTATTGTTTATATTTATATCTGTATATTAAATAATCATTTAAAGTAGGAGTAAAAAGATTAATTATTGTATTATTGATATGTACGTCATTGTACGTTTAATTGATGGAATAGCCACTGATCAAGAAATCTGTACAGGTGATATGCCAAGTGTTGTTCATGAACTGATAAACGGCAATGGTTTTCTTTAGAAATAAAGAAGGAAATATTCAGTGGATGTAAATATTCAACTGTACAAGAGTCTAACTCCGCAGAAACGCCAATACTTTAAATTCAGGCCTGCGTTCTGCTGGTATGTAAAAGTCAATGATAAGAACTCCGTTTGGGACCTTTCGGGGGTTTTCGGTCCCAGATCCATAACTGTCGATCTGTTCCCAGGCATTTCTCCATGGAGACGGTCTGGCCATCTTCTGATAGTTCTAGACATCGGTCAGTCATAACATGTTGAATTGTGCCGTCCTCGAAAAAAAAGTTTAATTTACTTACAAAAGAATAAACATAGAAAGACTATATCCAATAGGAAATACTTCCAGGAAATTAAAGGTTATTTCATTTAACTCACAGAGACATGCACGCAGCATCGGTGGTGGTGGTGGGTGCTTTGGACATATAATGTCTCATTGTTAATTTAGTATAAACAATGTTCATCGAAAGGGTGGTTGCCTCCCCCTCCACTATTTTGTACTACATGTACATGTATAGTAAAATTCTTCCGTTTTGACGAAAAAAATTTGGAACCTACATCATGTAATCATCTTAACCCCCTGCCCCTCCCTTTCGCCTTTGGATAATTTCCTTTTTCTGGCTTGTCAAAATTGTTTCAGTTTGGTTGTGATTTATTTTTCCGGCTTCCCCCATCCCGGCACTCACTTCCAAAAACGAATGTCTGAGAGAGCATTATGTCTAGATATATTTGTATAGAGTGTCGATCACTATGAGTCTAATGATTCTAAGTTGAATAGTAGGAATATATAATGAGTAGGCCCGTAGTAAGCAATTTCAAGGGGGTGGTGGGTTGGGGGGCACAACCAATTATTTTCAGTTGGGGGGGGGGGGACTATCAAGTAAAAATTCCTTGATAAGAAAAAAAGAAAGGTCATCAGGCACAAGCATAACGTACGAGGGGTGATCAAAAAGTTCGCGAACTATCTCTATATTTACAAAACCACTCTTCAGATCAGAATGAAATTTGGCACACATATAGTCATCAAACTTCCGCCAGAGTTCGTTTGTACCAAACCAAATCTGTGTGCGGAGACGCAGAGGACTATGGGTAGTATGATATAGTCATAATCATGTTCTATAAATAGCAGATGTTACGTAATGTTTTGTTGCATGTTTGTGACGTCACAATGTGAAAAAGACGTCAATATGTAGATGACTTGTGACAAAAAATGGCTGACACAGTCGTACTCGAGCAACGAAAGGCTTTAAAGTTTAACGTATATCTTGGAAATTCCTTCGCAGTAGCCTATAATAATTTGTACAAGATTTATGGAGAAAAAAGACTTGCCAGAAGTTCAGTCATTAATTGGATTGATTGTTTAAGTGAAGGAAGGGAAATGGTTAAAAATGATGTTTTTTCTGGTGCCCAGTGAAAGTAAGCTGGGAAAGAGATGTGTCCTTAGTTGAGCAATTGATTTTGAAAGATCGCCAAGTTACAGTTAGAAATAAAGTTGAATATCTTAAGAATATTATAAGTATTAAATCCATAAAATACCGTTTAGGTTCATACTTCATGTAAGAAGTCACGAAAATCAAAAGAAATGGGTAGGTGTTTGGTCTTTGTCCAAGATAGAGCTTCTGGTAAAGTCAGGGGCATTGAGCGGTATTTGTCTAAAACAGAGCTTCTGGTAAAGTCAGCGGCATTGAGCGGCATTTGTCCAAGACAGTGCCTCTAGTAAAGTCAGCGGCATTAAGCGGCATTTGTCCAAGACAGAGCTTCTGATGAAGTCAGCGGCATTGAGCGGCATTTGTCCAACACAGAGCTTCTGGTTAAGTCAGCGGCATTGAGCGGCATTTGTCCAAGACAGTGCCTCTAGTAAAGTCAGCGGCATTAAGCGGCATTTGTCCAAGACAAAGTTTTTGGTAAAGTCAGTGGCAGTGAGTTGCATTTGTCCAAGACAGTGCCTCTGTTAAAGTCAGCAGCATTGAGCGGCATTTGTCCAAGACAGAGCTTCTGGTCACGTCAGCGGCATTGTGCGGCATTTCTCCAAGACAGAGCTTCTGGTAAAGTCAGCGGCATTGAGCGGCATTTGTCCAACACAGTGCCTCTGTTAAAGTCAGCGGCATTGAGCGGCATTTGTCCAAGACAGAGCTTCTGGTAAAGTCAGCGGCATTGAACGGCATTTGTCCAAGACAGAGCTTCTGGTCACTTCAGCGGCATTGAGCGGCATTTCTCCAAGACAGAGCTTCTGGTAAAGTCAGCGGCATTGAGCGGCATTTGTCCAAGACAGTGCCTCTGTTAAAGTCAGCGGCATTGAGCGGCATTTGTCCAAGACAGAGCTTCTGGTAAAGTCAGCAGCATTGAGCGGCATTTGTCCAAGGCAGAGTTTCTGGTGAAGTCAGCGGCATTGAGCGGCATTTGTCCAACACAGAGCTTCTGGTGAAGTCAGCGGCATTGAGCGGCATTGTCCAACACACAGCGTCTAGTTAAGTCCAACATGGTACTTCTGCTAAAGTTAGTTGCAAAGTTTAAATAAGTTATATGAAAAGTTGAACTTTTCTCAAAAAAAATGTTTTATTCACTTTTGTACAATGAAAATTCTTTTGCCTTAAAAAGAGTCACAGAAGGCCTGAAAAATTAATGTGTGCATAAATAATGTTTTGTTTAGACCAAGGACAGAAGAATCTGAAATACAATTGATTCTTTTTCTACTGATAGAATTACTTATAATTAAGATAAGGTTTACCATTCTATCTATGAAAGGCACTGTAAAGATATTTGTTTTTCTTAAATGGCAAGGATTTGATCATTAATTAGCATTTATGTTTTTTCCCTTTCTTTTGATCATATTTTCATTAGTACATAGATAATACAATAATATTGATTAAATTGACTTCACTAAATAGCATAATCCTGTCCGGTTATCACCCAAGAAGCATGCTAATTAAGCATTACAGTAATGGCAGTCAGATACATACTTATCACCAATGTGTGATTCTGTCCCAAAATCTTAGCAAGTGTTTAAAACCCTAAAATGATTAGGCACATACTGTTAATCATCTGGCTTCAATATTCTAATTTTCTAAGAAATGTAATCATTGATATTGCTTGGTTATGACTATTAACTTAAGGGCATCCCATGCATAAGTAGCAAAAATATATCTTTGATCTTTAATTTTAAAATTAGAAAATATGTAAAGAGTCCATAAATTGAGGTACATTAGAAAAAGCTTTACAATGAGATTTGTTTCAAAATTATCACAAAATAGATGTCTAACTTAGCGTCTAAGGACTAATTAATGTCCCCCATTCAATACAAGTTAAACCACAAGAAAGAATGCCCCTTCCATATAAGGTCACTACATGAAGAATGCTGCTTATTCTGTATAAGGTCACTACATGAAGAATGCAGCTCATTCCATATAAGGTCACTACATGAAGAATGCTGCTTATTCCATAAAAGGTCACTACATGAAGAATGCTGCTTATTCCTATAAGGTCACTACATGAAGAATGCTGCCTATTTCGTATAAGGTCACTACATGAAGAATGCTGCTTATTCGGTATAAGGTCACTACATGAAGAATGCTGCCTATTTTGTATAAGGTCACAACCTGAAGAATGCTGCTTATTCCGTATAAGGTCACTACATGGACAATGCTACTTATTCCGTATAAGGTCACTACATGAAGAATGCTGCTTATTCTGTATATGCTAATTACATGAAAAACTTCCTCATTCTGTTTATGGTCACTACATGAAGAATGCTGCTTATTCAGTATAAGATCTCTACTTGATGAATGCTGCTTATTCCGTATATGCTTATTAGATGAAGACTGCTGCTAGTTCTGTGTTGGACTTTACCAGAGGCACTGTGTTGGACAAGTGCTGCTCAATGCTGCTGACTTTACCAGAGGCACTGTGTTGGACAAATGCCGCTCAATGCTGCTGACCTCACCAGAAACTCTGTCCTGGACAAATGCCGCTCAATGCCGCTGACTTCACCAGAAGCTCTGTCTTGGACAAATGCCGCTCAATGCCGCTGAAGTGACCAGAAGCTCTGTCTTGGACGGACAAATGCCGTTCAATGCTGCTGACTTTACCAGAGGCACTGTGTTGGACAAATGCCACTCAATGCCGCTGACTTTACCAGAGGCTCTGTCTTGGACAAATGCCGCTCAATGCCACAGACTTCACCAGAAACTCTGTCTTGGACAAATGCCGCTCAATGCCGCTGAAGTTACCAGAAGCTCTGTGTGGAACAAATGCCACTCAATACTGCTGACCTCACCAGAAGCTCTGTGTTGGACAAATGCCGCTCAATGCCGCTGAAGTTATCAAAACTCTGTGTTGGACAAATGCCGCTCAATGCCACTGACTTTACCAGAAGCTCTGTCTTGGACAAATGCCGCTCAATGCCGCTGACCTCACCAGAAACTCTGTGTTGGACAAATGCCGCTCAATGCCGCTGAAGTTACCAGAAGCTCTGTGTTGGACAAATGCCGCTCAATGCCGCTGACTTCACCAGAAACTCTGTCTTGGACAGATGCCGCTCAATGCCACTGAAGTTACCAGAAGCACTGTGTTGGACAAATGCCGCTCAATGCCGCTGACTTCGCCAGAGGCACTGTCTTGGACAAATGCCGCTCAATGCCGCTGACTTTAACAGAGGCACTGTCTTGGACAAATGTTGCTCAATGCCGCTGAAGTTACCAGAAGCTCTGTGTGGAACAAATGCCGCTCAATGCCGCTGACTTTACCAGAGGCACTGTCTTGGAAAAATGCCGCTCAATGCCGCTGACTTCACCAGAAACTCTGTCTTGGACAAATGCCGCTCAATGCCGCTGAAGTTACCAGAAGCTCTGTCTTGGACAATTGCCGCTCAATGCCGCTGACTTTACCAGAGGCACAGTGTTGGACAAATGCCGCTCAATGCCGCTGACTTTACCAGAAGCTCTGTTTTGAACAAATGACGCTCAATGCCGCTGACTTTATCAGAAGCACTGTGTTGGACAAATACCATGTTTTGACTCTTTAAATAGAAAAGTTTTTTAAAACATCTTACCCATGATATTACTTAGTACTTGTAGTATTCTATAAACTAAAAGTAATGTTTCGTGACTTCTTACATGAAGGAATAGCCTACCGTTTATTTAAGACTTTAAATGTATCAGGTATGATAAAAAGAAGGCGCCAATACCTTATCCACAATGGAAAAACGACGCACCCAAGACCGAGAAGTCGGGTTGTGATGGCCACCATGCTCATTCTGGGAAAAGATACCCTTATCCAACTATCCTATTGACGAAATTTGGCCATTTGTGACAAATGGACTCTTCTTGTTTTAAAAAATACTTGCATGGTAAGAAAATCGTTTAGTTTCCGTGAACAGAACACTACGGAGCATGTCACTTGACCGCCTGGATCACGTGATTTGCGCATGGGCAGAACGGTGGCAGATGTGCATTAAAATCGGAGAAGACAACTTTAGAAAATAATAAACAGCGAAATCTAGTTTTATTTCTTTTATGGAAGTTATTCAATTAGTTCGCGAACTTTTTGGTCACCCCTCGTATGTATAGTATACTACATGTATATATATTTAGGCAAAATTATGGGGGTACCCCCTCTCCTTCCCAGTTCCTACGACCATGATATGATATACTTGTACGATATCATACCTCTCTGTAAGTCCAGTTTTGGTTTCCACCGTCTCCATGACAACCGTTGACGAAAACTTCCTGTCCTGAATCGTCTATACAACCATGTAAATCATGACGTATCTCGCCCTTTCGCGTGTATAACCAGTACTGTGTAAGAAAATAGATTATCCCAGACCAGTCAGTATTTCGCGTGTATAACCAGTACTGTGTGAGAAAGTAATTGTATCCCAGCCCAGTCAGAATTTTGGATTACGATTGATGGCAGATGTTGCATTGTTATACACGTACTTGTATCCATACATTATGTAACGTACAACAACTATTATTGTATCAGTTGAACAGAGATAAAGGGTGACTTCATCGAGTCGTCAATTAAATAACTAAGGCGTGCATCTTGCCATGCATGAAATATATGTGAAATCTTCAAGATGCAATTGTATTTGCAGAAATAAAATTAAGCATTGATTTAAATTTTGATTCTGAGCGTAATTTTCACGTATTTTACTCTAATTTATACATCTTTGTTCAATATCACATATGTTTAACTGTTAAGACTTAACTTTTCTAGCCTACAGTAGTAACCATTTACCTGATTCCCCTTTAGTCCGTGACAATAGAAAAGCTTCAGTGGTTTATTAACGTCACCGTATCTGTGAGGACTTTCTAAACACAGTGGTTGTGTCTTGCTTCTAATCTAAATGCATTAAAATCAACAAATCAAACACGGATGCAAATGTATAGTGATTATTTACTATAATTGTAAGTTTTCCTTTAAACTGGATTAACGCAAGAAAACTATGGCACGCCGATTGTTTCAAAATTATTTTCTGCACGACCTTAAACAAAAATTACACGAGTAAGGAAAAACTTACACAAAGTGAGGAAAATATACACGAAGTTATTAAAATTTACACAAACTATAGAAAAACTGCACAATCAACAAAATATTTACACGATATAGTGAGGAAATTACACAAAAGTAAAAAAGAAAACTGCACGAGTGAGAATACAGCAGTGACATAATATACTACGCATCCTCATTGCGCACATTTCATTAATATTCAGTAGAGAACAGGTCAATGTGGCTTGGATGCTTGAAACATAATACAAAAGGTGGAGTAACGAGTATTCTTTAAAAAAAAAGATTCTTTTAAAATTCTGCTAGACTCTCAAGAATGTACAACGTATATTATACATGTAGATAAATTGACAGACACGCAATCTTAAACTTGTAGTATATGAACACCCCCGAATAAAAACATTCTACACAGAATACATGTATAGATAACGTAAAAAAGGGGATGCATATTACAAGTTGTGTGTTTAATTGTTGGATTTTTTAAGTATGTCATTCCTCTATATAGCAATTTCTTTTGAAAGTTTTGAACACTGACATATATGCCTAAATAAAAATAAATAAAAACAACATGTGATATAATACAGGAGAGTTAACAACAAATCACACTATTCTCCTCCACCTCCCACTATGTGTACTTTTGGTAATAATCAAGCATGTGCATGCGTGGCCATTTCATACAGAGATCTCTCCCTGTTGCATGGTTCTGGAACGAAAAACACCTGTACGCTAATCGATTTATAGCTCTTTGACACACCAATAATACCTTTTGATTAAAGATTACTAGCAATTTATACAAAGATTTTGAAGCAATGTTGCGATCATCTGGGTTGTGGAATTTGACCGAAAACGTTTTGGAAGTCAACAGTAAAGAAAATCGAGTAAATAATTGTTCAACTTAAATTTTAATTTTGAAACGCATATCTCACTTTTTGATGTATGTATGTAACAAAGTAGTAAACAGTAAATGTAGTCTTAACTTTTGAGCAATGTGTGGTGATTTCATAAAACTCCATGAAAATGTAGATAAAATATACAGTCGTTTTACTTATGTGAATTAAAGCTTTATTTATGTTGTTTTTAATGTACCGGCGGTAGTCTATTTTGAATAGTTAAAATGCATATAAATGAGTTAAGAAAATTTAAAAATGATAAAGTACAGGCACGTATAGTACCGTTTTTGAAAGGGGGTGGGCAGCCAGAATTTTTTTTTTGACAACCTACCTGAAAAAAACGTTGACAAGCAAAATCAAAGTACTGTGAGTACTGATAGACGGTGGCATGAATGTTGTTTGTTTTAATAAAAACGACCCTCTCGGGAATTTTTCACTCATAATGAGACGCCACTATTGCCATTGGTGGGCTGCAAATTTTATATCTATACTCAGCACTTAGGGCCATTGTGCAGTGAGGGATCTTTTTTTCTGGCAAGCACTTACTGCGACACGGGACCTCAGTTTAACGGTCTCATCCGAAGGACCGGTCTCCACGTCCCGCAGTGGGATTCGAACCCGCGACCTAAGGATCGACTCCTTACTCCTTGACTCTAGAGCACACGCTCTAATTACTGGCCACTGGCATGAATGAATTAAATTAAATAAAACGATATGAGAATCTGTAAAATGATATGGAAATTATGACAGTTTGTTGCAATTTTTCACAATACATGTATTTGATGAGTTATTTTATATTTGCGTCAGTATGATGAGGACATGTATCAATTGAAGTTGTTAAACAATTTATTGCATGAAATTTTCTATATTTATTTAGTTTTATTGTAAAATAATGTTTGAAGAAAAAAAATGTGCTGAAATGCCAGAAACGAAAGCTTGATCATTTCAATCTTTTTTTTTTCATTAATTAATCCTTAAAACAATTCATTTTACCCTAAATGTTAAATTAAGGGAATCAAAGGTTCTAATATATTCATGTGGTGACCGAACATATCTATTTTAAGATAGCTTTCTATACATGCATGTGTGGTTCCATTTAGGCTCTCTTCCAAGTTAGAAGTGCATTTATTTATTTATTTTTTTTTTTTAGCAGAAATGTGTTTGAGATATTTGAGGAACAATTTAATAAACCTATTGTGAGTTGCAGATATGAGCGAGTATCAGTAAATTCCGAATTCATTGTACTTTCTTCGCATAATTTGAAAATAATCTTATCAGCATGCATTTCAGCGATATCAAGTATCAAATGAAAAAGTTAAATTTTACAACAAAAAGTGTCATGAAGTCGTGGTGTTTTGAAGTTAGAAATTGTGATTTTATAATTTAAAATCTTATACTCAGTGGTTTATTATCAAATTTTGCTAATCTGGAATAAAATTAAACTCACAATATTTTTTTTTAAACAAAAACTAACTTTTTCTTAAAATATATGGTAAAAAGGGAAATGATGAATCACTTTTGGCGTTGTACTGTAGATTGTGCGACATAAATCATATGCTGAAAGATAATGAAATAGACTTTATCTTTGGATCTCCATTTTTGCCAAATTTCCAGTAATTTACTTATTTCCATAAGGTTGAAAGACTTCGAGAATTGTACAGGAGTTTTACCTTTTTGTTTGATATATATATACTGTTCGAAAAGAAAAAAAAGAAGAAGAACAGAATAACAAAATAATTTTCACTCTCTATTTCTCTTAATATCTTATTATGCACTGACCCCGCTAGTCATTGCGTAATACGAAGTTTTGAAAACACATGACTTGTACATGTAGGAGAAGACTGCCCTATATTAAGTCAACTGAATTCGCAAGAAAATCCTAATATTTCATGTACGTGTATTTGTGTAGCTTTTTTCTTACACTTTTTAAAGGGTAAATTTTATTCGAGGCACGATAGTATTTTCAAATACAATTGAAATATATGGGTAACTTTTGTTCGTCACAGTCTTATAATTATAGCTTTGATAAATAAGTATCCTTTCAGTAGTTTTTGTGTCCGAGATAATTAGGCAATGACTTTTGTTTTTAGATAGAACCGTAATAAACTTTGCAAAATGGCATCGTACCTGCCTTCAACAACTCTTTTTTATGTAAACTTTAAGAGGACGTGATTTTTTTTTTCATTCCGAAAATATATCTTTTTCTAATATAATATCGTCAACAGATACTAGAAATTCAAATAATCAAAAGACACGTAAAATTTCCATAAACTGTATAAGTATTATTGTATAAAAATTCCATAAAACATCTCAAATAAAACATTTAAAGGCCGAGGTTTTCAACCGGTCGGTTTTCCTCAGGTATATATAAGTTTGGTGTGGGGTGGAGCTTAATTGAAACGGCTGTGAAGCCCCGAGGGAACCAAGCTGGCTTGTGTATACCTACCTATATACACAGGGTGTTACCTGTATATTACCTGTAAATGTTTTCCTAAGACATAGTTTTACTTCGCGTGTTGGTCAATCGAAATGTTGATCGTCAAATTTATGAAAACATGCTAAATTTTTTATGTAGACTGATTCCTTTAGTTCAATTCTTTCTTTATGTTTGAATAAAGGAGAAAATTTTAGTTTAATTTTTGCGTTAATAAATTTCATGCAGTTCTGCAACAAGGAATACGCAGTCCTCGAATCATGTTAACTGAATTTTTGGAAAATAATGGAGAAATTTGGGGTCGACGCTTTCCAAGCATGGAGTATCTCGTAATTAGGGAATACCATATTGGGAACATCTCGTAATAAGCGTTTGTCACACATCCAACAGCGAAGAAACCGCCGAGAGTGTGTTGGCTTAACAATAATTATTTTATTTGCTAAGATGGTAAGGTGTAATGTGAAACCATTATCCATAAATATTTTCCCCCAGATTTTTTTTTTTTACTTTTAATAAATTTTATTGAAATTTTACATTTACACAACGTAAAAAAGGCCATGTGTACGAACTGACTTTTTGCATTTGTTTCATGTTCAGCAAATTTTATGTACGAATTGACTTCTGTGGTTTGCATACGAATTGACTCCTTATATGCGAATCAGTTTTTGTACGAATTAACATTAAGTCGACGTAATTTAATGAATATTCATGAGGCGAGAAATATTATAACGGCAAATATCTGGAATTAAACTTTGCGCCCATCAACAAAATGTCATTGAAATAACTTAAGAACAATGTACATTTTATTTTCGAACATCGAAACGACCCCACTTTCATTACTTTGTCTCTGCAAAAATCGCCGCTAGGGTCCCCGTGATTTTACACTGTTGTTTATTCATCGCCCAGACCAGCAGCAATAGCCTGTGGCTATAAATAGCCACCGTCTAAAAAGGGTAAAGTGTCCAAATCCAAACTCGAAAATCCTATTTCGTGGAGGGGGGGGGGTCCACCTTCCACTTTCTTTTCGAAACACATTATAATACCAAATTACTTTGATTTAAACTATCCTACAACAGAAGGGGGGGGGGGCAACCAGCTTTTCAATGGACATTTACAATAGAAGTAGGTTATGTTTGGAAAAAAGTGGGGGCCCCTCCTGATGCTTCGTGCCTGAAATATTTTTTTAAGAATTTAAGGGTACATATCATAGTCTATCGAAATCTGGATTGCAATTCATCTGAACTGTAATGATATTGTAAGACCAAATTCAAGAAGACATACAAGATGAACTTAATTAGCTGGGACTTGGCTACACATGCATATTTATTTTCAATGCAGATTTTGACAATAATAAATTTGCACACGGTAATAAAACAAAGATTTCTTGAGGTTTCTATTCGTCATATGTTTTCTTATACATGTATTTATTCGTAGTCATAATCGAATTAAAACAAGACCTGGTTGATGCCATTGATACACATGTACAATATTGCTATAAAGCAAACTTTTTAATTACTTGTACATGTATACGTAGATTTGGGTAAAAAAGTGTTTTTACAAAAAATTAGTGTTCGGAAAATAATTAAAATTTTATGCATACGAATTCGAAATGTAAAGAGAATTTGTTTTTTCTTATTTGTAACATTGTACGTAGATGTATTTAGTAATTCACTATGTTTTAAAATTTCTGATGTGTCGTTATGGTCCAACGATTTGAAACTTTAATAAATACATAGATTCAGATGTTGCGACTCAATCAATCCACGAACCAGATCCGCCACTAATGATATGTTTTACCGGTGCCAGGATTATTTGAGTATAGAGTTTTGTTATTTCAGTTGGACAAATTTTAAGTAACAAAACACAAAACCGCATGTACATAAAGCACATAGAGTATATATGTTTTCCTATATCTGGTCCTTTTTATTAAAAGTGAAAACATTTTTCAAGTAATCGCCATTACGAATGAGGGTAACGCTTACCCTTAGGAATGTCTTGTTTTTTTATTGAGTAGTTTATGACTGAAAATATGCGATATCATGGAAGGAATTCATAACAGTGTAGGCTACAGATATCCAACCAAAATTGATATCCTCATATTTTATACTGATAAAAAAGATACATGTATAAATATACATGTATAATACATTGTATAATTATACATGTATAATATTTAAATAAAATATTTTTTATGTTTGAATTTAAAAACATACTGTGTATATCTAAGGTCAGGTAATCCCCACTTTTTAATCTTTTTGAAAATAAAAAAAATATATCCAGCCAACTAAATAATTTCCTATTCCTAAATGCAAAAAAAAAAAAAAAAAAAAAAAAAAAAAAATTGCCCAAAATGAATTCATAATTAGAACAAATGAGAAGTACCAAAATAAATTCTACAATTTAATGATTACAATCAGCAATTCTGCCATCATTTTCATGAAGAATCCACTTTATTAATCGTTTTATTACGCATGTGTTAATTTTATTTTATACAAGTACTGCTCGTGCAGTTTTTGATTTTACGTTTGTGCATTTTATACCCCTTAATCGTGTGAAAAATTTCGGATTCGTGTATTTTTCGTTATGTTTGTGTTAAAATCTTTCAAACTATGTACAATTTTTACCGATACGTGCATTTTCATTTTACTCGTGTATATTTTTCATCATGCTCGTGTATAAAATCGCGATCGTTGTGCAGAAAATAATTTTGAAGCAATCGGCGTGCCATAGAAAACGCTAAAAACAGAACTGAAGGTACAAAGTTGTTAAAAACATGCAATTGAAAATGACATTTTTACAAGATTTATACTGCTGACTAAATATATTGACTGGCTTTATAATTTGGCAACTAATTATAATGTAAACCCGTTTTAAGTATTAGAACATGATAAAAAAATTATAAATCTGTTAAATAAAAGATTTTGATATATAACGCTTTTTTTCAGTGACTAACCTCCCCTGAATATAAGGCTTCAGCAGGAACAATGAGTTCTGGGTATACATTGACAAGGAACCAATCAAAACTTCTACACTTTAGTCTTTCTCGTAGAGATTTTCGTGATGAGACGTCGCCATAGTCGCCCTTCAATATCAACATGAAACTTCCGGGTTTAATTCACATAATTTAAATTATGTTATTATTTAAAGTTAATAAACCCTCTGCTCACTCATATTAAATGTTGCTTTAAATCCTATGAATTTCCAAAATAAATGTTTTTTGTAAAGTAAAATACAAACAATTATAGCAGAGCTTGCGGGGCAAAATTGGACAAAAAAGGATGATTCAACTTGACAAATTTATAAAGGAATAGTAGACATGTATGTCATTAGGAGTTTTCTCTCTTCTCAGTGTATGAAGAACTTTAATATTTTCATGATTCAATGCTCAACATACTTATTATTTGTTTCTTGAAGCTTAAATTCAACAGTAAAAATATGGAATCAGCGTTCAACTTACAAGGGTGTAGTTAATATGTTGGTAAAAATATTCTTTAAATTCGTCAAGCCACACTTCCGCCATGCGCACATTATTGTTTCTCACAACATTGGCCTTTGACCCCCACGAGTATGGCGGAGACTTTCGGAAAACATGACCAATATGAGAACAGGGAGCTGTAAGAAGTGTCCCACCACACATCCAAATCTGACACAAAAGTTATCTCAACAGTGATTTCGTGGTACGTTTACTCAGTTAACTACCCACTGTGTGAAATGTGAGGAAAACGAACAGTAAATGATGCTCAATTAAGTTTAATTAAACGATACAAATTGTGAGCAAAGCAAACATAGTGATGTCACCTTCCTTCAAAATAAAGTGATACGCTAGATTTAAGCATATCGTTTGTGGAGTAGATCAAAGAGATAACGTGCTTGAAATTTAAGAGACAAAATCGATCATATAATTTAAGTTTATCATCTTCAAAAAGTTTGCAATATTAAATGAACGTCAGTTCTAATATCCTTTTCTTGTCCCTACAAGCTACTTATGTTTTATCAATACAAATACCCTGAATGAGATTTCTAGGTTCTCTCCTCCCCAGATGTCCATGCCTTCATCATAGGTTCCGAGGTACTCAAAGTATTTTCTGCTGATGGCGAATAGTCCCCCTGCCATTGTAGGTGACCTAGAGTATTGGAGAAGAAGTCTGATGACCAAAATCAACAAACTCCCATGGATCAGAGAGAGTTAACTGAAGGTACTTCGGTGCTTTAGACATAAATAGTCTGACCGGAGAAAGAAAACAAAAGGCCCATGAACGACCACTTAAGGATCATGAGGAGTAAAGAAGGTTTTCAAACATGTAATGTACTTGTACTTTCAATATGTGGCAAACCACCCAGAGATCTGAACGCTGTGGCCATGAATCATGAATTTTACAATTTTGGTAAAGGGGTAAGTACTCATTGTAATCATGAGAATAGTTTACTTAATATTTGGGTAAAAAGAGCTTCAAAGGTGCAATATATCACAAACTTGATGCAATGGGCCAAGGGGTCATGAATTTCAAATCTGAAGAAGGTTTAGAACTTATTCAAATCATGGAAACAGTTTGCCTGCTCTATGACCATGAGTAGAAAAGAAGAATTTTTAAAGTCGTAATTCTGTATTTTCAGGTCGATCTCAAAAAACCAACAAACAATACAAATCTGTGAACGGGGCATAAAACACGGAACCCTGGTGGGATCAGGTGCCTAGGAGGAGTAAGCATCCCTTGTCGACCTGTCACATCTGCCGTGAGTCCTATGTGTTGATCAAGTAGACGGAATAATCCGTAGTAAAATTTAATATAAACAAGATACACAGGGGCCACAACGCTCACCTGAGTAACAATGGCCCCTCTGTTCTTCATCAGCAGATTTTTTCCCTTCAATTTCTTATGTAAAACTTTGTTCACTTTTTATGGCCCCATCCTAACCGAGGGGTCATGATTTGAACAAACTCGAATCTATACTACCTGAGGATGCTTCCTTATAAATATGACTAATCATGGCTCTGCTGTTCCTGGGGAAAAGATTTTTAAAGACTCCTCCTATATATTCCCATGTTTAACTTTTTTCTGCCCCACCCTACACATGATTTTGAACAAACTTTAACCTACATGTACACTACCTGAGGATGATTTCATAAAAATGATTGATCATTAGATCATCTCCGGAAATAAAGAATACTGTATTATTTTTGATGGATTTTGACTCATTCCTCAGGTCCCAAGGTATAGAGACACCATGAAAATAACAAACTTCGTTCCCATCTTCCCATTGATGCAATATACCGACAAAATCCCACACATTATACTTCACCTGACTGGCAGATGGTGCTGATATTTTCGACGTTTTTTCTCAGATTCAGGAATTCCATGCCATGTAAAAGACAGTGACCAATCAAATCCACCGACACTAGTCGTCTCAGCAGGTAGAAAGGAGTACTGAAATGTATCGCTATCTATGACGTCAATAACAGGGGTCATGACTGTAGTCCAGTTCTTGGCTATTGGGTCTATCAGGGGTTCTACCCACCCTGTTAAATATTGACAGTATGAAACATTGATAAATCTTTCGTGTCTTTTGGCATCTAGTAGCGAACATTTACGGAGAAAGCCAGAAGTCTCTAATGAGACTACCTCTACTGGTTAGAATTCACGATCGTTATTCACTTGCACATATTCTTATATCACTTCTTTTTGTGTTTTACATTAAATGAGTTATGTATTCTAATAGTTTCTAAACTTAAACTTACACGTATTAAGTAGATTAGCATTTTGAGAGAATTTGACATTTACATTCTATTTCAGTAACCGTTGCAATACCATCAAAATCAATTACTTAATACACTCTTCTCTTCCTAATGATTTTATTTAAAGGACGAGTAGCTTTTTTATGCTTTTCAAATAATCCTATTTTAGTAGCCATGGCATTCATCGAATTCAAAAAGCAGTCATGAAGGCACCTTGATATAGTCTATTGGCTTACAATGTTTTATTGAAATTAGACTAAAAAGTAGTAGAACAAAAAGGTATTCTCTTATAAGTAACCAAGGCAACAGAATTATTCAGAATTAAAAGCACATAATTATAACAATTTATATATCTTGGTGTAGTCTATTTAAAATAAAATCGAACCACAGCTTTAGGAGAAGTACAAAGAATTCATAACATTAGCCATGTACAATGTATCTCAACATCTTTTGTTGATATAAATCAAACAAAAACAATAGCAGGAGGATTTGCATTTTGAAAAATTGTTTACGGACGAAGAAATGAACATACCTAATTAATACATAAGCTCTTTTGGCCTACGATCAATAGAGTTAAAAAAAAGTGTTTACCTTCTGTGCATTCGATGTGAGAATCAAGAAATACGACAATTTCTCCAACTGCTGCTTTATAACCTAAGATACGCCCTCGTGTTAATCCCTGTCGCCTAGGGGCTCGAATTAATTTAACTTTCTTAAATCTAATCAGAAACTCTTCTAATGGACCCTTAAGATGCTCTATCAAATAAAGAAGCCAAAAAATTAATATGAATACATGTAAGCATTTAGATTATCTTTGATGGGCTTGAAAGAAAACCCTTTATCCTGGAATTTCATTACTATTTCTTTACTCACCCATAGTTGAAAAATCGTCTACAAGGATAACCTCTTTTAATAGAGAAGGGGGTGTTCTATTTAGTATGCTGTAGATACTGCGTAGGAGGACACTCCAAGCCTCGTTATGAAATGTAATCACCACGCTGACTTCCGGTAAATTATTACTGTATTTGACTGTGAGGCATCTAAAACCATTAAGACCTTAGCTGGTTTATTTTTTGTCTTGTTTGAGGTTATAGTGATTTTTTTTTATATGTTCAAGATGTCAAGGTTATCTTTCATTCAGACTTTGTATAACATTTCAGCACTTCAAGGTGTGCTAACAAAAGAGAAACAGAAGTTGTTGAAAAATGTTTTGTAATATATTCGTTCTCTTAAAGTTATCATCATTGGTTGTCTGAGAGAACTTCTAGACAAGGAAGTTTGCTACAAGAAAGGGCTATCCAATGCATTTACGAACTTGTAGAAATTTCCGTGTTTTTAGAATTGCTTTAAAACAAAGATACAATGATCGTAACATACTCACTGTTTGTCTCTGTAATCCAGTAGTGTTCGCTGTACGGATATTTTGTTGCTTACAAACTCATTGAAATTATTTATTCTCCAACCCTCTTCAAACTCCAACTTTTCTTCTGGCGTTAACAGTGATTTATTTACTTTAAAAGGTTTACCCAATTCTCCTGTTGCAAGAAGAATTAAATTATCATCATATTTAATAGAGAGGAGGAGTTCCAAATAGCTTTTGAAAAATACTGTATTGCTAAAGAAAAAAAATTATTGTATTAATGTTCATTTCTGAATAGTGTACCTGGACCATTTGTATCCATAACAGCTTTATATCTGGGCTCAGAATCATCTAAATTATCGTCAGTCACTATCCTGCTCCCTCGTCGCTGCTGCCCATGAATTAAAACATGTTGATCACTTGAGAAATTACGTCCAACCAGTCTTTCACTGAAAATGTCAACTTCCTTCGGAAAATTTGAATTTTGTATTGGAGACGGCAGATAAAAGAATTTAGTTACAAATAAAGTAACCGTTGAAATGATAATTCCCCTCTTCAAATATCTTTTTATGTAGCGGTAGTTCATAGTTTGGATTAAAGCCAGTATAAAATCTCTCGTCTTGATTCAAATAGATCCACACGTTGGCATTGAAACAGATGTCACAATAAAGTATCAAATTACATCTTAAGTTTGGTCAGATGAAGTTTTACAAAGGATGTACCTGATTAAAACGTCCCAAACTCTTGTACATGTATCTATGAGTAGATAGCTTAAAAAGTATTATTAAGAAGAAAAAAAGAAAATATTTTTAAAAATTCAATGACTTCAGGCCACAATTTCTTTTTTACAATGGTCAGCTTTATAAACAATGTAATCGATGAAAGTATGTGCTAAACAACGCAGAAGAGACAAGGCGGCAGCTGATAGCATAATCTCTGTTACCTTATAAAGACAATTCATCAATATACAACACTTTGTAAAAGAGGGTAAGCTGTTCTGAGGAAGTCAACCAGTATTTATCAACAGATAATATCTGACAAGGTGTTTTGTTCTGGATAAAGGTCTTTGTAACCACTACTAGCTGTTATTATGCAATGTAGATTTGTAATAAATACAGGTAAATGTATTTGCAAAACTATTATTATTAAAAAAAAGTGCCTGAACTATAGACACCCTTATCCATATACAAAAAAATTGTCTTACAAGTCTTTCAATGTCAAATATCTACAGTGGACAGAAATAATACAAGTAGATTCATTACCCATATAAATGTTTTGTATATATGCAACTAATGCTGTTTTTTTGATTCCGGAAGTCGACATGGTGGCGATGGCCGAATAATTTCTCGGCTCCGCCGACTAAGTGGATTAACAGTCGATAAATTCGGCTTTCTGACTAGAAAAAGTTGCACAACTTTCTCTTTGTGAACTGGACCATCTTTCTTGCAACTTTTTTCTTGTCAGAAAACTGATGTACATATTGAACCGACAGAAGTAGTTGCCATACATCGAATACCCGGTCAGAAAAAACAACCGAAACCGATCTTGATAAAAATGAGTACAGCCGAGGCAAAATCCAAAATCATGCGAAAGCGATCCGAAGTGAAAGACGAAGAAAAGGGGTGGCGGATCGCGGATAATGTAACCAGAGAAAATACAGCACTGATTGCTAAGCTGAATGAGCACCACAAAATTTCCGCCACATGGTATTTTAATGGTTTCGTTTATGGGCAGTGCGGAAAGAAAAGAATGAAATTTGAAAAAATAGTTTTGCGTGGACTCGGTTTCACAGTTGGTGACATGATGAACTTTCCGGTTGTGAAGGACACAGCTCAGGTGAGGAAAAGAACTACCTGCAATTGTTTATTGAAATAAAACGTTAAAACCACTTAGTGGTGGGCTAGCAGTGGACAAGGAATTTATCAAAGTTTTCTTTTTTTTCTTTTTTGTATGTGGATATGTGCTTTGTGTGTGTGTTGATATGTGTCGTTTTCTTTTTGTTTGCATGTATTTGTTGCGACTGGAAGGTTATATTTATACTCATGTATCATCAGATCATTGTCCCTTTTCTCACCAGATTTTTTCTCTCTTCTGCATTAAACAATGAGCATTAAGATGATGTCCCTCAATTGCAGATGGTTAGGTTCTATGGAGAAAAGAAGAGATGTATTGAACTTCCTTACACAAAAGCAATATTCAATTTATTTCGTACAAGATACAGATTTTACTGTAAAAGATTATGAACAAATTAGAGCTTTTTGGGAATTCAACGTTTATTTTTCTCCTGGAAAATCTGATGCCAGAGGCACAGCAATACTCCTAAATAATAATTTTGAACATAATGTTAAAAGTGAATTGAGAGATAAGAGGAGAGAAACTATATTATACTTGAAATTAATGTGTGTAACAAATATGATTTTTTACTTATTAACATATATGGTCCAAACAAGGACTTTCAAGATTTTTTTCAGTCTATTTCTGACATCATTTCAAATTTTGATGGAGAATTTGTTATCACTGCTGGTGACTTTAATCTTGTTCAGGATCCAAATCAAGACTACTACAATTATAATCAAGTTAACAATAAAAAAATCTAGAGATGTTGTTTTAAACATAAAGGAAGCAAACAATCTTATACAGATCCCTGGAGGGTGAAATACGAGACACTCCGAAGGTATACATGGTTCAAAAATAATCCAATAAAAAAAGCCAGACTAGATTTTTTCTTAATATCAAATGAATTAATGCCTTTTGTAGAAAAACCATTCTATGACCATTCTATTGTTGAGCTGTTTATATCTTTTTCAAATTTTGTAAAAGGAAAAGGATTTTGGAAAGAGCCATAGCGCATTTGATAGGCATTTTCGCCTACTCTACTAGTGATTTCTTAAATACATTTTTTAACCAAAATTTTGTCATACAGTCTTAGTTTATACATGTGTAAAACCAAATCACACAATAATGATATTTAAATGTTAATAGTTCCCTCATATGATAAATTTGAAAATTATCCAGTTTGTATAGAATATATAGTAAATATTGAGGTATCCACCTAACGATGACAAACTGTTGTCAAAGACCACCCTTAACCAGAAAAACAACTTTTGAATAATTTTATTTGGATATGTCTGCACTTCATTCCCTTTAGATAATTTTGGTTAAAGGTGGTCTTCATATTGAAAATGATGAAAATATATATTAAATTTTTCTTCTCATATAATCGTAAGATTTAGTAATCTGTCTTAAATTTATCAACTTGTCATCATGGACTTCGTTGGCGCAGCGGTATGATTGCTGGAATGTAAATATGGTGATCGCGAGTTCGAGCCCCACATTTTTCCATGTTTTTTTTTTATTATTATTTTTTCTTTGTGTATCTTTTCTACGTTTTTCTTTATATGTTTTACAACATACACAATTTCAGAAAGATATAATATACACATTACACTTTGAAAGTATCTCGGGAAAAGACAGTCCTTATATAACTTTTATTAAAGTTTGCAAATTCATAGCAACTTGTTTTATTTTTATTGATTTTCTGCGTAAATCTTTTGTCTCAGAATTAGAGTATTGAACAAGTAAAATGATTTTCATTTGACATACTTGCAACACTCGTCCTCAAATCATATTAGATAGTTTGCTCATGAATTGAAAAGGTACAGTATATCTATAAATAGAAACAGGTGATTTCCTTTTAAATTCTTGAGTCGGCCGTGTCGTCGGTAAGGCAGCTATGGCTCTTTAAAAATTCCTTGCTTACAGATAAGAAATATATTGAGCTTGTAAAGGACATAATTATTATACTTAAAAAACAATATATGGCTTCTCCTTACAATCCTATTGCTATATATTAATGATATGGAAAATGAAATTATTTCTTTCCAAATTGACGACCAACAATTTTTTGAGCAATTACTTTTAAGCATAAGAGGGGCTACAATTAGTTATTGTAGCAGAAAGAAAAAAGAAAAAGAAAATAAAGTCAAAAAATTAGAAGAAGAAATATCTCAATTAGAAAGTAATAGAAATACTGATAATTCACCTGAAATTATAGAAAAGTTGGAACATTCAAAAAGAAAATTGAAAGATATACGAAAAGAATACATTAAAGGTCTGTTTGTGAGAACAAAAGTTAAGTGGATAGAAGAAGGGGAAAAGCCGACAAAGTATTTTTTAAGTTTGGAAAAAAGAAATTTTATAAACAAAACAGTATAACCAAACTAGTTCAAGATAGTGGTAATATAATAACAGAACAACATGTATTTTATAAAAATCTATATGCATGTTGTGATGATAAACTAAATGATATTGACTTGAAAAGCATTTTAAATGTGGAATATGTTAAAATATTAAATAAAGAAACATGGTATCAGTTAGAAGGTGTAATAACCAAAGCCGAAGCTTTAACAGCATTGAAAAACATGAAAAATGACAAAAGCCTAGGAAGTGATGGATTTACAGCTGAGTTTTACAAAATTTTTTTGGGAAGATATTGGACAGTTCCTTATTAGATCAATTAACTATGGATTTCAAAAGGAAGAATTAATATCTACCACTCAGAATCAAGGAATTATATCAATTTTACCAACAGGAGAAAAATCGAGAGAATTTTTAAAAAATTGGCGACCAATATCATTGCTTAATGTTTCATACAAAATTGCTTCTGCATTGTTATTATTATTATTATTATGGTGTATTAGATTATCTTATACATGACAATCAAAAAGGTTTTCTTAAGAATAGATTTATTGGTGAAAATACACGCATAATTTAAGACATAATTCACAGTGCAAAGACAAGAAATATACCAGGAATTATTTTACTTATTGATTTTGAGAAGGCTTTTGACTCAGTGTCATGGAAACTTATGTACAAAACACTGCAGTTTTTTTAACTTTGGACCTGATCTTATTAGATGGATACATGTATTATTTAATCAAACTCAACTATGTGTAATCCAAAATGGTATATTTTCATCATTTTTCAAAATAGGGAGGGGTTGTCGCCAAGGAGATCCTGTCTCTCCATATATATTTAACCTGTGTGTAGAGATTATGGGATACATGATTAGACAAAATAAAAATATAAAGGGAATAAAAATAGGTGAGGAAAAAATATGTTTACTTCAATATGCAGATGACACAGTAATGTTTTTAGATGGTTCAGAAAAAAGCCTAAAAAGTGCTTTAGATCTTTTTCAATTTTCAAAATTTTCAGAACTTAAACCAAATATTACTAAAACAAAAGCTATATGGATAGGTTCTAAAATAAATTCAAGAAACACATTATGTAATGAAATAGGACTTCAGTGGACAGTGGAAC